TCTAGAGAGAGGGCGTTGCCAGCCATGGGAAGCTCCACCACCGGCCACCGTCACCTCTGCACCGCCGCCACCGCGACAGCGCCTTCACCGTCGGGCATCACAGCGCCACTGTCAAGCAACCCCATGGCCAGCTCGTCTTCTACGAAGGCGGCTGATGGTTTGCACCTCCTCAACTCCTATCTCTCTCTCACTCTATATGTTAATCCCATACTAGTACATATTCTAGTACTCGCTATTTATTCCAAATGTAAGTACATATGCTAGATCTATGGCTAGTTGATCTTGTAATAGTCTATCAGATTCTGACTATTGTTATCCTGACAGCGAAGAACTAGAGGAGATCATATCTGTGGTGAGTCACTTTGCAAACTCTGTTGTCCAACGCAGACGCACGATGAAGCTGTGTGGTCGTATTGGGAGGACTGAAATCCTCGTGTTGGTGGACTATGATAGTGTCGGTACCTTTGTTAGTACTCGACTAGTTGATCAGTTGTAGTTGGATACGAGGTCAATTGAGCCGACTCGGTTTGTTGCGGCTGATGGGTCCCCAATGATTTGTTCCCTATGGGTTCCTAACTTACAATGGTATGTCCAGAACCATTCATTTATCTCTGATGCTAGAGTCCTACCGCTCAAATGCTTTGATTTGGTGCTCGATGAGGATTGGTTTGAGGAACGCAGTCCAATGTGGGTGGATTGGGTCAAGAAAATCATGCGTTTCACTTTGCGAAATCAGAGAGTTACCCTGTTTGGATTACAAAATTCACGGCCATCTTGTTCATCAGTATCTTCCAGTCAGTTACACAGGCTAATCAAGCAAGAGGCTATCACTCACTGTCTGCAGGTCAAGTGTGACTGGTGTAAGGAAAATGGACCCTAGGCCCATTTACTTTGGATTTTGGTGTTTGATGACCAACACAACCAAATTGGACTAATGAATTTGCAAGTGATTGTTTTGTAGTTTAATAGGGTGCAAGATGTGACTTGGACGAAGGCGACGTGATGATCCGATGATCAATACCATAAGCAAGACTTTAGAAGCACAAGAGAAGACCCAAGATATCAAGCAAAGTCCAAGCACGAAGATAGGAACCAAGCCATACGCAAGATCACGAAGAAACAAGCTCACAGAGGTGACCGGACGCTGGTGGAAAGTGACCGGACGCTCCGATCAAGAGGCTCGGCAAACAGGCGTCAGGAGCAGCGACCGAACGCTGGCGGCAAAACAACGGATGCAGAACTGTAGCGTCCGATCAAGTACAGAAAGGTTCCAGAGCGGCGAAATTGCGACCGGACGCGTCCAGTGGCATGTGACCGGACGTGTCCGGTCAGGACGTGATCTGCGTCTGGTCAGTAGCAGAAAAGCGGAATTTCATCCCCAACGGCTACTTTCTCAGTGGGGCTTATAAATAGATCCCCAACCAGCCATTTGAGTAGAGTGGAGCTGAGGAAACATATCTAGGGTGTTGATGCACCATTTTAGTGATCTTCACTTGCATAGTGTTTAGTGATTAATTAGGTGATTAGCGTAGGTGCTTTGCGAAGTGCTTAGGTTGATTAGACCACCGCTTATGCGCTTGCTCGAGGTTTAGGCCTAGTGTTTAGTGAAGTTTGCATACCTCTTATCACTTGGTGCTTGTGCGCACCATTATTGTACATCAGAGGGGCTTGTAGTCTTGCGAGATCACACCAACCACGTTTGTGGTGTGGCCGCCACCGTGTACTGGAGGGAATAAGGCCCGCGACGTTTCTGCCAGAAGCTTGATAGTGAAGACGGCGGGGAGCATCCGGGAGAGGCTTGCCGGAAGGCACGTCGGAGACCCACTTGCGCGTGGGGAAGGCCCGAGGCTATCCACGGAGTTACTTGACCGGGAGCTTGGCCCTTATGAGGGATTCCTTGCGAGGGGCTCCAACGAGGACTAGGGGGAAGCTTGCGTGCTTCTCGATACCTCGGTAAAAATACCGGAGTCATCGACTGGAGTTTGCATATCTCTACCTTGCTCTTTAGCTTCCGCATTTACATTGATTGTACTACTCCTTTTGCGGTAGAGATAGCAACACACTAGCAAAAACTGTAGTTGCACATTTAGATAGTTTATCTTTTGCATAGGTTTTTTCTAAGGTTAGAAAAAGAGGCCATAGTTTAGAGTTAGAATTTTAAGTTGCCTAATTCACCCCCCTCTTAGGCGTCACGGTCCCCTACAACCGTGATGACACTTCGCTGTTTCCGGTTGACTATACTTTTCACACCATTGAGGTTCCAGAGCAGCTGGAATTGCCATCTTAGGTACAAACACTATTACAGTAGTATGATGATATCTTTCAGGAACCTCATGAGCTGCAACCATAGTGGTCGTTTGACCATCGCATTGAGATGCTACCTGGGGCTCCACCAGTCACTGTCAGGCCTTATCGATACTCACTGGCTCAGAAGGACGAGATCGAGAAGCAGTTGTCCCAAATGTTGATAGATGGTATAATTTCTAAGAGTAGTAGTCCTTACGCTTCTACGGTGCTATTGGTGAGGAATGGCGGTTCTGTGTCGACTACAGACACCTAAACGCGCACACGGTTAAGAACAAACATCCCATGCCCATCGTTGATGAGTTGATCGATGAGCTAGCCGATGCTCAGTGGTTCTCCAAGTTGGACTTTCGTGCAGGATACCATCAGATTCGCATAGATCTAGAAGACACACAAAAGACTGCATTCAGAACCCATGATGGGCTGTATGAGTTTCTGGTGATGCCATTTGGGCTCACTAACGCCCCGACTACATTTTGGAGCATCACGAATATGGTGTTCAAAGTATTGCAGCGAAAAGGCGTTCTGGTTTTCATGGACGACATTCTAATCTACTCAAGAACTCTGGAAAAGCACATCCTGCTGTTGCAGCAAGTGTTTGAGATCATTCGAGGTAACCATTTCTACATCAAGCTATCGAAGTGTGCTTTCCCCCAAAAGGAAGTAGAATACTTGGGGCACCGAATATCAGGCCAGGGAGTGGCCACTGAACCCAGTAAGATTGTAGCTTTGTGGATTCTTAGGGTTGTCTGGATATTACTGAAAATTCATCAAGGGATATGGTTTGATCACTCGGCCACTGATTGAGTTGCTCAAGAAAGCAGTACCATTTGTTTGGAATTCAGTATCTGAGGCAGCATTCCAATAGTTGAAGCAAGCTTTGGCTAGTGCACCAGTTCTTGCAATTCCAGACTTTACAAAGCCGTTCATTCTGGAAACTGATGCCAGCTATAGTGGGGTCGGAGCTGTGCTCATGCAAGGAGACCACCCAATTGCATACATAAGCAAGCCAGTTTGTCTCATGATCAGTCACTGTCAACGTACGAGAAAGAATGTATGGCAATTATACTTGCGGTAGACAAGTGGCGTGCCTACCTTCAGCATTAGCAATTTATAATCAGGACACAGAGTTTGCTTTATCTGACTGAACAGCGTGTCAGCTCAAAACTGCAGCACAAGGCAATGATGAAGTTGATGGATTTGGATTTCAAGATTGTATACAAACAGGGTGCAACTAATAAGGTTGTTGATGCCTTATCCCATTATGCATTTGATAATACAGTACTGGCAGTATCCACTTGCAATCCAGTATGGCTACAGAAGGTGATTGATGGCTATGCAGATGATGCTCAAGTTCAGAACTGAACTTGTTGTACAGCCTGATGATATCAGAGGTTATTCACTAAAGGATGGGGTGATTTGGTTCAAGGACTGTCTTTGGTTGGGTAACAACAAGTTAGCCCAAGATCATGTTATGCAGGCCTTGCACAGCAGTGGGGTAGGTGGGCATTCAGGCTGTCTGGCAACATACCACATGATAAAATCTTTATTTGCTTGGCCAGGAATGAAGGCAACAATATACAATTTTGTGCAAGCTTGCTCCATCTGTCGGCAAGCAAAATCAGAACACATAAAATCTCTAGGGCTGCTACAGCCATTACCTGTACCAAATCAAGCTTGGCAGGTTGTCTGTCTGGATTTCATCGAAGGGCTGCCCAAGTCGTCTCGGTATGACACCATTCTGGTCATCATTAACAAATTTACGAAGTATGCGCATTTGATTCTATTAGCTCATCCTTACACTGCCCTGCAAGTGGCACAAGTCTTTCAGGACAATGTTTATAAGCTCCATGGTCTCCCACAAAGTAGTCTCAGACAGAGATCGGATTTTCACAAGCACGGTATGGAGAGAGCTCTTTCGTTTGACTGACACACAGCTGCTCATGAGTTCTTCGTACTATCCGCAAACAGACGGACAGATAGAACGCTTGAATTAGTGCTTGGAAACATTCTTACGCTGCTCGGTCAGTTCTTGTCCGAAACAATGGAGCAAGTGGCTATCGGTGGCCGAATTTTGGTACAATACTTCGTTCCATTCTCCTTTGGGTCGATCACCATTTGAGGTACTATATGGTTACAAGCCGAAGCAGTTAGGTGTTATCAGTCCCGCTGACAACCATTTTTTTACAAATAATGATTTAGAGAGTATATTTTAGAAAGATTTTTGGAGATGCTCTGAGCTCTCATGTTTCAATGCACTGGAGCTAATACGCCTGCTCGCTGCAGATGCTTTGGCCGCGGCTGCGGCTGTTTGGTGTAGTATCTACAGTTTATAGCAGTTCATTATCTGCAGGTGGAGTGTGAAAAATCGTGCGCAGGAGGCAAGGAACATGTGGTCAAGACGCCGCGTTTTTTCACTTCATTTTCCTTGTAACGGGCCTCCCCGCGCCCCCGGAAATCTCCGTTTTCTCCCAGACAGACAACCGTGTACTGCAGCAGGTCTTTCAGCTGTAGGAGGCAGGAGCGCTGGGGCCCGCCCTCCTTCCAAAGCGCCTCGCACTGCCCGGGCTGCCTATATAAACCACCGATCGGCCACGGTCGTGGTAGCAGCTCCCAGTCGCCTCACCACCTCTCACCTCGCCTCAGCAGGTCTTGCACGGCTGCACGCTGAATAGCGAGCGAGTGACAAGCTAGCCATGGACCAGCTTCCCAAGCGCCCGGCCAACTACGTGCCGCTGAGCCCCGTGGGGTTCCTGCCGCGCGCCAATGCCGTCTACGGTGACCGCGCGTCCGTCATCTACGGACGCGTCCGCTTCACCTGGCACCAGACGTACCAGCGCTGCCGCCGCCTCTCGTCCGCGCTGCTGTCCCTCGGCGTCCGCAGGGGCGACGTCGTCTCCGTGCTCCCACCCAACGTGCCGGCCATGTACGAGATGCACTTCGCCGTTCCCATGGCCGGTGCCGTGCTCAACACCATCAACACGCGCCTCGACGCCGGCGCCGTCGCCACCATCCTGCACCACTCGAAGGCCAAGCTCTTCTTCGTCGACTACGACTACGTGCGCCTCGCCAGCGACGCGCTCCGCCTCCTCGCTGCCGACGCCACGCACGTCGTCCCGCTCGTCGCCGTCATCGACGACATTGACTCGCCCATGGGGGCCCGCCTCGGCGAGCTCGAGTACGAGGCCCTCGTCGCGCACGGCGACCCCGACGCGGAGCTCCCGCCGCTCGAAGACGAGTGGGACGCCGTCACGCTCAACTACACGTCTGGCACCACGTCCGCGCCCAAGGGCGTCGTCTACAGCCACCGCGGGGCGTACCTGAGCACCACCAGCCTGCTGCTGCAGTGGGGGGTGACCACCGAGCCCGTCTACCTCTGGACTCTCCCCATGTTCCACTGCAACGGTTGGACCTTCACCTGGGGCATGGCGGCGCGCGGAGGCGTCAACGTCTGCATCCGCGACGCGCGCCCCGCCGACATCTACCGCGCCATCGCGCGCCACCGCGTCATCCACATGTGCTGTGCGCCCGTCGTCTTCAGCATCCTCCTCGAGGGCGACGCCGCCACCAGGCAGCACGAGACCCCCGTCCACGTCCTCACCGGCGGCGCGCCGCCGCCGGCCGCGCTGCTGGAGCGCGTCGAGCGGATCGGCTTCAAGGTCACGCACGCCTACGGCCTCACGGAGGCTACGGGGCCCGCCCTCGCGTGCGAGTGGCGGGACCAGTGGGACTGCCTCCCGCTCCTGGAGCGCGCGCGCCTCAAGGCGCGCCAGGGGGTCAGCGTCCTGTCCCTCGCCGACGCCGACGTCAAGAACGCCGACACCATGGTCAGTGTGCCGCGCGACGGCAAGACCGTTGGGGAGATCGTCCTCCGAGGCAGCAGTGTCATGAAGGGCTACCTCAACAACCCGGAGGCGAACGAGAACGCCTTCAGGGGCGGCTGGCTCCTCACCGGCGACGTCGGCGTCGTGCACCAGGACGGCTACATCGAGATCAAGGACCGGTCCAAGGACGTGATCATCAGCGGCGGGGAGAACATCTGCAGCAAGGAGGTGGAGGAGGTGCTGTTCCGCCACCCGGCCGTGGCCGACGCGGCGGTGGTGGCGATGCCGCACCCCCGCTGGGGCGAGACGCCGTGCGCTTTTGTCGTGCCCAGGAACAACGCTGCCGAGCTCAGCGAGGACGACGTGCTCGCGTTCTGCAAGAAGCGCATGGCGCGCTTCATGGTTCCCAAGAAGGTGGAGGTCGTCGGAGCGCTACCTAGGAACGCGCTCGGAAAGGTTGAGAAGGTCAAGCTCCGGGAGGAGGCACGTAAGCTGGCGCCCACCGTACCGGCGCAGAAGCCGAAGGGGAAGACGACGACCTCCTCGACGACGGTCGGCGGTCGCCGCGAGGAGCAGCCGGTGGCGCACGTCATGGCGGTGTCAAGGCTATAGGCAGCACAACACTACAGAGCATAGCTGGTGCTACATCATAGTGTACTACACTTCTTTTTGCCATAGTTTTGGAGCTACTCACACGTGCCAGAGCTCCAAGAATAATTTATGTGCAGTGATAGTGTAGGTACGGATACGAGAGGATCACTCGCACGCATTTGTTTTCCTTCCTTTTTCTCGTTGTACTTTGATACTTAATTATGTGCACATTGTAAAATACATGGTATGAAAACGTGAAGGAAATAAATTTTGTTCAAACTAAAAAAATTGTGATAAAAGTTTCTGCTTTGCACTTCTTAATTTTTTTTGGTCTCGTTATTAATCCGGTGGCAGTGACCGAAATTAGACTCTAAATTCCAGTGGCAATGATTAGAAGTGGGGGCAGTAGACTTCCGCTTTATTCCACCGACCAAGCCCTTCTGATATACTCTCTGCCTGAATAAACTGATTTCTAGATATTTTTTTTACTTAGACCAATTTTATGCAAAAGAGTCTATCTCCTACAACTAAAAATAACAAAGTGTGGACATTTTTAGGTGCGACATTTGTTTTGTTTCGTCCATCTGCCCACGCCTGCGATCCCACGACATCTTAATTACTGATTGATCGTGCCATTCTCCTTGATTGAATATTGCCTATCATGTGATAGAGGAATCACGGCAAAATAGGAAGTAGAAAATTATTATGCTATCCATATACACATTGCATGTTTGCATGCACAGTATACATGGCAATGAGCAAAAGGAAAGAGAATTAACACAGAAGGAAAAAGAATTAAGACAAAAGGAACATCTTTGCATTTTTGAGAACCTTGTCAAATCTGTCTATATTTAATTACTTCACCTCTTTGCATTTACAAAAGGGATAGCTTTTTCCTCCTTTCATTTGGTTTCACACTCACGTGTTCCATCGCCCTCGCTTGCTGTTTCTTGCGTGAACCATAGTTGATGTTATCTGTCTTCCATGGCTCAGCCTCACAATCCCAAGAGAAGGTCGCTACCTCTCCTTGACTAGAGATCCGACCTGCCGGAGGATCTCCTCGAGTCCATCGGGCAGCGTCTCGCGCCAGGCCATGATGCGGCGTCCTTCCGATCCGCTTGCTCCCCATGGTGCGCCGCCGTCCCGTTCGCGACCTTCGGGCCGCTCCTGCTGCTCCCGTTCGACCCCGACTCGGACCACGTCGGCTTCTACTGCGTCCCGGAGAAGAAGAACTTGTCCAAGATGCTGCCCGACGTGCGCGGCAAGGTGGCGTGCGGCTCCTCGTGTGGGTGGCTGGCGCTCATGGACGAGGCTGCTTCTGTGACGCTGTTGAATCCATTCGCCGGTGCCCGTGCCCCCCGCGTTGAGCTCCCGTCAGCAGGCGAACATGTCGCGGCGGCGTCCTCATCGGAACGCGTGTCTAGGGTCCACTGCCAGTGGGTCCTCCATCCCACCAACGACTACGGGGACGCGGATGCCGCAGGCAGAGCCATCAAGCTAGAAGACATGAGGGACATGTTCTTCCGTGAGATCGTGCTCTCCGCGGCGCCTGACGCCGCCGACCGCGAGTGCGTGACCATGGCCATGCTTGGGTGCTCCACGTAGGTCGCGTTCTGCCGGGTTAGAGTCGACAGTGCTTGGACGCTGCTCGACACCAAACTGGAGTTCTCCGTGGGGTCCATCGTCCACTGCCAAGACAAGTTTTTGGCGATCGACTGCACCGGAGAAATCTCCGTCTGCAGTAGCAACGCCGCCGGCGCTCCTCCAACCGCGACGCTGCTGCCATCGCTGTCGCCACTTGCGGGGCTCTGCCACCGCAGCTACCTGGAATCAAACGGTGAGCTGCACATTGTGGGTGCCATGGTGAGCACGTTCCACAAGACATGGAGCTTCACCTACAGCAGCGCGATCTACAAGTGCAACCTCCACGATCATACGCCGGAGTGGTCCAGGGTGAGGGACATCGGTGATCAGACACTGTTCGTGTGTAAACATTTCAACGAAAGCTTCAGTGGAACAAGTGTATCCAAGTACAAGAAGAACAAAATCTACATGTCTGAGCCATTGTATGGAGATCCATACGACTTGCAGCCTGTTCAGTTGGCTGGTTCATATCGTTGCTGGTTCGTGAAGAAGTACTGCTGGCTGGTTTGTGTGTGAGAAAAAATACTGTTCCGACTGAAAATTTACGATTGTTTACGACAAGCCACAGCCAAGCGAACTGAGCGTTGATCCATTGACCGGAGATCGTTGATATTGCTACCGGTACATCCGAAGTGAAGCCCGTCCATGAAAAGATGCAGGGTTCCGAGGCTCTAGGTTCGATTCGACCCAATCTCTGGTAGCTCTAGAGTTTGTGAGCCTGCGACGCCGCGCACTCCGTGACTGTGTTAAATTCATAAACTTTGCTTTTTAATTAAATGTCACTTTAACGTTGGTATTTAATTTAACAGTATTGTTATCTTATCGTACGATCTGTGCGTTTTTAGTATAAATTGTTAGTTATCCCGTAGCAACGTACGGGCACGCTACCTAGTGACATAAAAAGTATAGTGTGAAAACTTATTTGACCAATTTTGGTATCATTTTTTCTAGATTAGATTTCCATAGCATCTTTTTCAACAAACTACATATATAAGCACACCAAGGAAATGCATCGTTTGAAATTTTTCGAGATGGTTGGAGTATATTTTGAATTGATTTTCATGTCTTCCATCTAATATGTGGTCTCCACTATATACTCCACTGTATACACGTTAAGGATATTTATAGCTCGAGTCCAAAGGGGCAAGCGGTATCTTGTATCCCAGTCGCCTGTTATGTTCATGTTAACGATTTCTGACCATTATAAATGCGATCGGGACATTGTAGAGGGAACATCTCCTATTCAACTAAGTTTTTTTTCTCAAATACGCATGAGTGTGCATATCTTTATATTAAGATTGGAGAAGGTTCATGTTAAAAGAATGCCGTAAACGGCCAGACGCTACATAAAGTGATTACATCTTGAACGAAAAACAATTCGGGGACCTCCTCGTGGCTGCGGCTTCTCGTGTCCAGCGCTAGGGACAGCGAGAGCGAGCAGCCGTCGTCGTCGTCTTCGGAAACCACCGACGACGACCATGGATCGCCGCCTTGTTGGGCCACGGCCGCGTGGGAGGAGGCGGCGTGCCTCCGCGGAGCTGCGGTGGCCAAAGAGCCATGCTGACCGTCTGCGTGCAAACCATCACTTCTTTAATAATGAGGTAATTTAAATATTTATTCGAAATGTAATCAAAGTCAAATTTATATTAAATATATGTATATTCTAATCACTACGGGAGACGCGCTCTTTGCCGAGTGCTCGGAGCTTTGCCGAGTGTCGAAACACGAGCTCGGCAAAGAGGTAGTTTGTCGAGTGCCGCACTCGGCAAAGCCGGCCCTTGGCAAAGGCCATCTTTACCGAGTGTCAAACACTCGGCAAAGAGGAACACTCAGCAAAGAATAACCCTCGGCAAAATACCTCAGCCGACGCCGGTGGCCCCTCCGTCATCCTTTGCCGAGTGCTGGCCGTTAGCACTCGGCAAACGTGCTGTCTTTGCCGAGTGCTGCAAGCCTGGCACTCGGCAAAGAGGTTCCTTTGCCGAGTGTCAATTCCGACACTCGGCAAAGTATTTTTTTTTTTTTATTTTGTTTTCAAATTTTTTCTGTGGCATTTATACAGTACCTTGAAGCACATGCTCCAATGTGGAACTTTTCTATGACTTTTTGGTATATTTTTTTAATTTTTTATGTTTACTTGAATTTTTCTCAAAAAAGTAAATTTGAACTGCAGGTGCATGAAATATTAGAATTTAGCGATTCAAAAAATGGTATTCATGTTTTTGAGTGTATTTTGAGGCCGTGTGCAGGGACATTCGTAAAATTTCGAACATCTGTTTCACAAAACATGACCACCAACTTGTTAAACAAGTGTTTTTTAATTATATGAAATGCAAACGAAGTCCAAAAATCACGAAACTTGTAGAGGTGTCGTGTCATCGCATGTAGAGGCTGTGGTAAAAAATTTAGAAGTTTTCGAGCAAGTTGTGACGTACGATGCATAAAACCCAGACATCTCCACAAGTTGTGTCGGAATTGGCACTTGGCAAAGGAACCTCTTTGCCGAGTGCCCGCATCTCGGCACTCGGCAAAGAGCCGCCCCACTTAACCCTAGCGGGCCGGCCGGCCCGCTCCCACTCTCTCACTCCCTCTCACTGCTGCGCGCGCCCTGCCCCGCACCACCGCCCCACGACCACCGGCACCACCCCGGCCCCGCTTCGCCGCCAGAAGCAGGCCCCGCCCTGGCCCCGCTCCGCTGCCGCAGCCAGCCGGCCCCGCCCCAGCGCCGCTCCGCCGCTGCTCCGCCGCCGGTGGTGCCCTGCCCAGCTGCTCCCCGCCCCTGACCCGCCGGAGTGGAGGAAAGGAGGAACAGGGGATCTAGTAGAGGAGGGAAGGGAGGTGGAGGAGATGAGAAGGGAGAAGGAAGAAGGAGAAGGGAGGAGAAGGAGAAGGAGAAGGAGAAGGAGAAGGGAGGAGGAAGGAGAAGGGAGGAGGAGGAGCCTCAGCCGCCGGCCACGCCCCTCGCCGTTCGTCCCCGACCCTCGCTGGAGACGAAGGTGACCCCGGCACCGCGTCGCCCGACTCCACCGCCACCCAAGGTATAAAGCCCCCCGGTTGTCGGCCTTCGTGCCTTATATGTCATTGATGACCTTCGTGCTGTATGTGGATGTGTGGGCCTTCGTGCCGTACATGGATGTGTGGGCCTTCGTGCCGTATATATGCTGTCGGCCATCGTGCAGGCTTTTTTTCTTGTAGGTTTTGGAAACTTCCCCGTATAGGGGAGGTTCTGCCGAAATTTTTAACTTGTAGTATTATAATTCTTCTTTTGTAGAGCAGGACCCGTCGGAGGGGACCCGGAGTACGTAGGCGACCCCGATCGTCTTCGTCGGCGCTACGGTCCTGCCTGCACAGCGTCGCCTCGCCACTGCCCCGCTAGCCTG